CAAAATATGGAAATTATCAAACAATGACACTAATATCACACACAAAGAAATGTTGAAAATAATTAAAAAATGGTTTCAGCTCTGCAGTGGCAGGAAATTGCCAGAAATTCAAGATTCAGAAAAGGATATAGAAAAAAGGATACTATTGATGATATGATAATGGATGAAACCAGAGACTACCAGAAGATGTTTACCTGTGGTTTATTGACTATGCAAAGGCATTCAATTGTGTGGATCACAACAAATTATAGATAACATTCTGAAGAATGGGAATTTCAGACCAGGAAGCAGTCATTCAAATAGAACAAAGGGATACTGCATGGTGTGTCAGGGTTTGTATCCTTTCACCAGACTTATGCAATCTGCATGCAGAGCAAATAATCTGGGAAACTGGACTGTATGAGGAAGAATATGGCATCAGGATTGAAGGAAGACTCATTAACAACCTGTATTAACAACTCATTCCTATGCAGATGATACGAACTTGCTTGCTAAAAGCCAAGAGGACTTGAAGCACTTACTGATGAAGATCAAAGACTTATACCCTTCAATATGGATTATAACTCAGTGTAAAGAAAATGGACCTCACAACTGGACCAATAAACAGCATCATGATCAATGGAGAAAAGGTTGACGTTGTCAAGGATTTAATTTTACTTGATCCACAATCACTGCTCTTGGAAGTAGAAATCAAGAAATCAGATGATGTATTGCATTGGGCAAATTTGCTTCAGAAGACCTCTTTAAAGTCTTCAATAGCAGAGATGTCACTTGAGGAGTAAGATGTGCCAGACTCAAACTATGGTAGATGATGAAAAAGGAAAATCAGAGAATTGATATACTTGAATTATGGTGTTGGGGAAGAATATTGAAAATACCGTGGATGGCAGAAGAACAAACAAATCTGTCTTGGAAGAAGTACAGTCAGAATGCTCTCTAGAAGGGAGACTTCATCTCTCATACTTTACACAAGTCCCTGGAATAGGACTTGTCCCTTCGGATTCATATTTGGAAAAGTAGAGGACTAATGAAAAAAGAGGAAGACCCTCAACAAGATGGATTGACAACAGTGGCTGCCACAATGGGCTCAAACATAACAATGATTGTGAGGATATCAAGGGACATTATGTCCCTGTGAGTGGGAACCGATCTGGATAGCACCCCAAAACAACACATCCATTCACCTAGAAACTTATGTGTCTGTTAAAATTGTTGCTCTTGAATCACATTGAAGGATACAAGAAAGTGCCCAAGATATATTCCTACACGAAAAATTAAGTTTGGATAATATGATCTCAATTTCATTAAAAAATATGTAGCAAAGAAAATGTGTGGAAGGAGGAAAGACACACAAAAAGCCGTTATTGGTGATAGTGGTTCTGTGCCACCAATTTGGTTTCGGCTCATAGAGACCCTGTATAGGGAGTCCTGATGTGTCGCTACAGATTAATGCACTGGACTGCTAGGTCAGTTTGAAACGCAAGGTCAGAAGTTCAAGCTTACCAGCCACTCCTCGGACACCCTATACAGGGTTGCTATGAGTCGGAATCAACCACACGGTGCTTAACAAGAACAACAACATAGGGTTTACAAGGTTATAAATCTTCATGCGAACAGAAAGCCTCATCTTTCTCTTGCAGAGTGACAGATAGATTAGAACTGCTGACCTTGTGGTTAGCAGCCCAGTTTGTAATTCATTACACTACCAGGTCTTTTACAAAGCCGTTATTAAGTCCTAGTGTGGTGTTGTAGGATATAAGCACTTGACTATTAACCACAGGTGGGCAGTTCAAAACCTCATACAGGATTGCTATGAGTCAAAAACTGATTCAATGGCACTAACAACAACAACAATAGTCACAGAGAGTAAGACTAAGGAGTTGTTCATAGTTTATATTTTGCTGTTTTTGAAATTGCTATGTTGTTGTTATTGTTAAGTGCTGTCGAATTGGTTCCAACTCATAGCAATCCTATATAGGATTTCCAAGGAGTGGTTGGTGAGTTTTAATCTCCAGCGCTGTGATTAGCAGTCTAGTGCTTATCCTACAGTATCAAACTGTTATAGAGAGCATATTAATTTCATATTTAATAATGGAGAAAAAGAAAGCGGCAAAATATACCTTTGTATATCTAAAAGTGTATGAGAGGCTGTTGTTGTTAAGCGTTGTCAAGTCAGGTCTGACACATAGCAATCCTGTACAGGGTTTATGAAGAGCGGCAGATGAGTTTGAACCACTGACCTTGCAGTCCAGAGTTTATCCTACAGTGCCAAACTAGCTATCAAAAAAAGTCTCTGGGCCATTTTTATTTTCTTACTGACAACCTTTTTCTTATTCCGAAGTAAATGTATAATAATTCTAACAATCAGAGAAAAATTCATAGGAAATTATATCATGCAAAGAATACTGAAGGTACCATCAATGATAAATCTGTTCACAAAGTCAAAAGGTTATAGGGCTGGGGGTTCTCTTCAGAGATATTTGAATCTGATTTCATTGTGTTTGGGGGGACTTATGCTTCCTTTTGTTGCTGCTGAAGCTATCTCCACTTTTTTTTTAAATTTATTTTTATGATTTCCATTCAAATTGGCCAAGGAGGAAAATCGAGGCCAACCACAAGGCAAGTTTTCCTGAGAAGAAGACAATAAGTCTTTGTCACTGTGGAAACAACTTCACCGATAGAACGTGACTCTCTGGCCCTGAATGGCTTCAGTTGCTGGTGGGCAGAAAATGGTAATGAGAACAAAGAGCCTAGGAGGCTTTTCAGGGCTCTGGTTGTCATTCTAGGCCAAGCACACTCGTAACTTTATATTATAATGATGGGGACAAAGAACAAGGTGTCCCATTCACTGCCAGGCTCTTGCAACCAGGGGGTCCCCGGCCTTCGCAGAACCTCCCACTGAAGTGGAAACGAGAAGGGACTGTCAAGGAGTGTGAAAGGACCCATAGCAGACAAATCACTGTCAGCCCTATAAATAATGACAGAAAACAGGCAGAAGAGATGAAAAGATGCCGTCTGATCATTCACCAGTGAAAAGATGTGCACTAAATCAGGGTGTTTTCTGTCTGATGCTGTTGTTTTTACTGAACAGTTAAGCACCCAAGGAAATACCAGTTGGGTCTTAAAGACAATTTATAGCTCGGTGGGCCTCATTGCACCTGGCTGTGTTTTGACAGCAGGTTTCGTCAGTTTATAGCAGATTCCTGTCTGCATTATAAGCTGCCACTAATACAACTAGGTCTTTAGAAAAAAAATGTATAGCTCAGAGGTAAATTGCTCCCTCTCTCCCTCTTAATGAAAAACAAAAGACACTTTCTGGTGCAAAGCCTCCTCTTCTTCAGGGGAAACGACAGAGCCTGGTGGGACTACAACACAGTAGGTCCAACTGTTTCTAGGCTTACAGCTATGGGCTCTTTCTTTTCCTTTCCCTAATGAGAACCATTGTAAACTGCGGCACTGACAATTCACTTGTGGGCTCTCAGTACTTCCCAGACTCCAGGCCACACTATGAATGTTTGGGAGCCCTGGGACAGCCTGGTCACCATGGAATTGCCTTGTGCACCAGACCCTGCTATTCAGGATCTGGCAAGCCTTAACTTGGTTTCCTCTGGGTTTCTGTAGCCAGTTCGTGGTCTGGTTTGTAAGTCACCTTCTTAGAAAACACACAACCTCATTACAATGCATGAGAGTTGAAAGTACTTCCGCTTAGGACCAGTTGTTACCTTGTTTTCTTTTAGTTTTGATTTTTAAGAATCAGGGTTTTTTGTTTCTCGCAGAAGGATTGAACCAAACAACGAACTTTGAAAAGGTGACACACATTCCTGAACTGAAGGCGATGTGCCCTCCTTTAGGAACCTGTGCTGATGGGGACTGGTAGCTGACATGTTCCCCTGTGTGGTAAAAAGGACAAAGAATTCAGGGAAGGCATGAAAGGTAATGGAGAACAGCCCCCAACCCCCTGTTCCTTAATTTCATGTTTCACAGACATTCATTGACATTCAGACAGTCCCAAGGGGAAGCTTGAATAACTAGTCATGTGCCAATGAACCAGAAACCAGAAATGAGTTGGCTCAAGGGGCTGCTCACCTGGGGCCCAGGGCTGAGTTTCCCACCAGGATGGGGGTCACTGCCAGACACCAGGAAAGCCCAGGCCTGCAACATCCCCTAGACCAGCCATTCCAGGATGCCACACTGGGACTTCCCAGGACTGGGGTTGGCAAGGTGGCCTAGGGTTGCCCTTGAGGTTCTGAGTGGCATGAGGCCTGGGTAGAAGGGAAGTGGTTCCAGGTCACGTGATTCCCAGGGAGTCAGAGCTGGCAGAAAAAAAAAAAACGCTTATCTCTCATAGTTGGTCATGGGCTGAAAGGGAGGGAGAGAATAAAATCTCAAGTAGGAGTGGACCCAGGTCCTTAAAACAGAGAAGTGAATCCAAACAGGTCATGTGGAGGAGAAAGCTAGCCAGAGGGAGGAATGCTGAACCATGGGAGGGAGCTTAGGGCAGCCAAACAGGGGAGATGAGAGGTAGAAACCATGGGCAGGGCATGGACAGATGAGACCAGCTCATTGTCTGCTCCACCCAAACAACAGACCTGGAGGAACCAAACCACAACCTGATGACTCTACCAAAACAAACAGCAAGTTATGAAGACCTCATTGACTAGACTTCAGGGTCTACCACCATGGTCCCTTGGAATCACAGTCACGTGAGGCAGTTGAAAACCAGCATGTTCCTGGCATAGGGAACCTCAGTAAAATAATTACATATATGGAGATGGTGGTGGTTGTGTGTCGCAGAGTCAGGTCTGACTCACAGTGAACCTGTATAGGATTTCTGAGGCTTAAATCTTAACAGGAGCAGAGGGCCTCACCTTTTTTCCATGGAGCAGCTGGTGGATTCGAACTGATAACCTTGAGGTTAGCAGTCCAACATATATGCCATTGTCATGACTGATATGTTAAGTAACAAGCTTTACTATCCTAAACAGTTGTCTTTAGTGTACCTTTGGTATTCCGGAACTCTCAAGCCAGTCTTGCAAAATGTTTTCAACAGACAACTCCAGCCTTAAAAGAAAAAAAAAAAAAAAAAAAAGGATTAAAAAGCTATGGAGTGGACTCTGGCAAGATGGCAGACTGGGCAGACACATTACACAGACCCTCTACAACAAAGAGGTGAGAGACGAAGTGAAACAGACACAGATGAAAATTCGGGAACCCTGAACTTCAGAGGAAAGTTTACAGAAGAAGATTGAGTGCTTGCTGGGAGGAGAAGTTGAGCAGTCAGTCTCCCTTTTTCCCTGTCCCTTCTGTTTTCCCATGCTCCCCTGGTGACCAGAGTGGTGGCCAGCTCCCACCCTCATCCTTCCCCAGCACAGACCCTGCTCTTCCAGAGTTCAGAGCCACGTGATTGGGAGACAAGCCAGTGTGAGGTGGGGGTCTGCTTCACTTCTTTGGTGCCTGGATTCAGGTGGGCTCAGCTCTAGATCTATAAAACTTGAAGAGTCACCAGGCCAGCATTTAACCAGCCCCATGCCCCAGCTGCTCTGTGGTCCTAACAGACACTGAAACTAGCTCCATCCAGGGCCTCCATGAACTCAGTTCAGATTGAGTGCCCTGAATATAAGGTATCACCAAGGCCTATAGGAATCCCATCTAGGGCCAGGAACACTGATGCACCCCTCCCACACTCTCCTCGTAAGCTCCTGGGCTTGTAGAAGCCCTCCAAAGTTCTCTCCTTACCAGGTCCAACAGCTGCACTTTTGTTTGGTTTTGGGGTTTGGTTTTTAATTTCATTGTTTTTGTTTGTTTATTTGTTCTCCTCCTTCTACTTCTTTTGAATTTTATTCTTTCTATCTCTTCTTTTGATTTTCTTTCTTTTCTTCTGTTTCTCATTTCCCCTCTACTTTTTATCCCCCTTTTGATCTTTCATTACGACTCTTTCTCTTTCTTTTTTTCCTCATCTTCCTTCACCCTGGTTTTTCTAAGTATTAAAAATGTATTCCTTTTATTTCCTCTCATTTTTTTCTCTTCTATCGATCCATTTTCATGTCCCTCTTTTTTCTTTTTAGTTATTCTTAAATGTTTTTTGGATTTCTTCCATTCATTGTCTCTCTTATTTTTCTCTTGTCCCATTTCCCTGTCCCTCTCCTGTCTTTATACTTATTATATTCTCTCTTTTTTTTGCTGCCTTTTTAAAATTTTTTTTTCTTTATTATTTTGTCTTTTCATTGTTGCTTCCTTGTTTATTTGTTCTGTTTTCTTTTCTTTGTGTGTGTGTATGTGAGGGGTTTTTTGTTTACCAACCAATAGGATACAGTAACCATGCCCATACGGCCCAGCTACAGCCATACCCTTTTTAGTTCTACCCACTGGGAAAGAGTCAATACCAGCTCCTAAACTACCCGATCAGTGATAGACAGCAGCCAGCATCAGCCAAACCCACCCTAAACTGAGGAGCATGAATAGCAAACAAGAGCAGTGTAAATACTTCCACTGTCTACGTTTTCTAATTCCACCCACAGAAGACAATTGGTGAGAGCCTAAGAACAAATCAACATATGTTGTTGTTGTTGTTAAGTGCCGTCAAGTCGGTTCTGACCCATAGCGACCCTGTAAAGGGTTTCCGAGGGTATAAATCTTTACGGGAGTAGAAAGCCTCATCTTTCTCCTGTGGAGTGGCTCATAGTTTTGAACCGCTGACCTTAAGGTTTGCAGCCCGATTCATAACCACTACGCTACCAGAGCTCCTATGATCAATTAAATATAAATGTAATAACTTCACAATGCCCTGGAGACAACAGACAATTTTAGTTCATATGAAGAAACAAGAGTGCAAGACGCAAACAAATTACCAAACTCAAGGGCCAGAAAACATCTCTGAGGATGAAAAAATAATGGAACTAAATGAAAAAGATTTCAAAAGAATGATATTTAGATACTTTCAAAGGCTTGACAGAAAGAGGAAAGTAAGGAGAATATAGAAAATAACTTTAAAAGAATTCAGGGAAACATTACAAGGACAAACAGAAAAATAAATACAAAGTTTAAAACAAAGAAAAACCTGCAATTATAAATCCAAAAGATTAATTCTAAGATTTCAGAAATGGACAATACATTGAAAGGGCAAAGGAGTACATTGGAAACAATGGAAACCCTAATGAGAGCACTTGTAGATAAAGCTCACAATAATAGTACGCTAGAAGAACAATCAGGAAAAAGAGTGAAAAATTACAAATAACGCCTAAGAGTTATGTAGGACACGATGAAGTGGATCTATTTATGGGTGACTGGAATTCCAGAATAAGAAGAGTTAATAAAAAGCATACAGAAAACTGTCAAAGAGTTGTTAGAAGGAAACTTCTTTAGCATCATGAAAGACAAGAAGATACGCATACAAGAAGCTGAACAAACTCCAGACAGGATAGATCCCAAAAGAAAATCATCAAGACATATCATAACCAAACTTTCCAAAATCAAAGGCAAGAAAACATTCCTGAGAACAGCTCTGGAAAAACAAAACGTTGCCTACAAAGGAGAACTAATAAGACTGATTTCTCTGATTTCTCAGCAGAAACCATGAAGGCAAGAAGGCAAAGGGATGACATACACAAAACTCTGAAAGAAAAAAATTGCCAACCAAGAATCATATTTCCACAAAGCTAGCCCTCAAATACAAGGCAAAATTAGTACATTGATAAACAGAAATTAATGGAACTTGTAATGACCAGACCAACTTTACAAAAATCCTGATGGGTATTCCTTGGACTGAGAACCAACAACAACAGACAACAACCTGAGATTACCATACATGACAACATCACCCAGAACTCAATCCAGCTATAAAAGTACTTAAAGTAAAATTTACCTACAAGACTGAAAACAGGGAAACAGAGATATCAATGTATAATGAAGTCAGCTACAAAGCAAAAAGAGGAAATAATGCAGATAAAGAAGTTCCACATGGCAAGGAAGTCAAGTAGATTTCAAGATAAAACAGACTGTTTTAAATAGGGAAAAAATTATTAAATTATAGGAAAATCTATAATTTAACCTGAAAATGAATACATCTGCACATCAAAATTAAAAACAGAGGACAATCAGAAAGATTTAGTAAACACTAACAAAACAGAAATGGAAATGAAAAGAAAACCCATAAACAAAATGAACTCAGTGCAAATAATTATGTGGAACAAGGAAACCAGCAGTACCACACACACGCAAAAACAAAAACAAAACACAGTAAAATGACAGCAATCGATTCATACCTATTGATAATTATCTTTAATATAAATGGATTAAATGCACCAGTGAAGAGACATAAAGAGAAGAATGGATAAGAAACCTGGCTCCCGTCAATACAAGAGACATCAAAAGGATTAATACACCCGAAACGTTCATCACCGGAGGAATGGTTAAACAAATTTTGGAACATACACAATGGCATGCTATGCAACATTGAAGAATAGCAATGGATCTGCTAAACACCTCACAACATGGATGAACCTAGAGTGCCAACATTATGCTGAGTGAAATTAGTCAATCACAAAAATACCAACATTGTTGAGACCAATGTTGCAAAAAGGTAAGAAAGTTTTTTCTTAATAAAAGAAACAATCTATGATGGTTCTGGGGGGGAGGGAGGAAGGACAATTATTCAGGGACTAGAGGGCAGACCTGGGTGACAGGGTAGGCAATACACAACAATAGGGAGGTAAACAGAAGAAAAATTAAGGGAGCGGGAGACACAGGAAAGAATGCAATACTTAATAGTGAATGGAGATCAATACGGTTAAAGGATGGTACACGGAGGGGATTGCAATCATTGTAATGAAGCAAAATATATGATTTGCTTAATGTAAAACTGATGATATGCTTTGTAAACCTTCACTCAATTCATAATAAAAAGGTTTTTGTGTTTTTAAAGAAAAAAAGCTATGGGCCAGTTTATTATACAGAAACATTATCAGCATCAATCTTCATGAGAAGGACCTATCCTTTGGAGAGAGAGAAACACTCCTCTGAAGTGGGGAGGAGAACCCAGAACATTCAGGTCAGCTTCTCTTCAGTTAAAAGCAATATGTACAGTAAAACCTAAAGATCGGGAGCCTACAATAATTGGTGTCTTTAACACTTTGTAAGGAACTTCTGGTTTAGAAAAGTCAATTCAGGGAGAGCAAGGTGTATTCATAGGTAGTAATTCAAAACGGAATCAGAACATGACAGCATTTAGTACACCACTGTGAAATTTGAACTTGATATAGTATATTTGAGCTTTATAAAATGTTATAGTTCCCAAGGAGGGTGGGGGTTGGGGCTGAAACTAGCAAAAATAATACAAACGATTATGGAGCTCAAGAGTGGCAAAGACGCATGGTGCATGTGTGGGTTCCACTGCTGCTGTTTGAAAGCAAGTCCACAGTTGACTATATTTGAAGTACTCTGATTGTTTGCGACATCTGATCCTTAGTCAGCGGAAATCCTTGCAGTTTAATGGTCCACAAACTCCTTAAAATTACTAACTGTTCAATACATTTAGGATCAAGTGACCTTGGGTTGTATCTTCCTGTTTTCTGTCCACTAATGAAGAGGGAAGCAAATTGCCCCCAGCCTGGCTTCTTCTGGGTCATTCCAGCTCATGCCTGCACCTCTGCTTATAGAGGGGCCTTAGTGGCCCCTCTCCCAGACTCCCCCTCCCTGTCCTGCTTGCGATTGAGACAAATTTGATTACTGGACATATTTGATTCCTGGCTCCTCCTGGGATGGAAGATTTCTGCAATCAGACCCATGATTTACTCCCCTCTTCAAACCCAGCAGAACACTTCCCAGCTGAAAAGAGGATCCCATAAGCAGATAGTTGCTGTTGTTATTGTTAATGAATGAAAACACACTTCGCTGTTGACTCAATAAAATGCCTTCCTGAGGAAAGGGAATAGTTTTTGTTTAGGAGGCATTAAGTTTATGTTAATGGTAGTGTAACAATTTGGCAAAGGATTTTTTTTTCCTTTTCATTTTCATTGTGAATTGTGTGATAGTTTACATGGGAGAACATCTTGGAAAAGGATTTT